AGTGTATAACTAGATTGCGCCGCTTCATTTAAATATATATTTTTTTATATGGCATAAGCTCGTAAACAAGCAGACGGATCACCTGAACGTAAGCAATCGGCGTCGCCCATGGACACCTGGAACACCAGAGACGTTACAAGTACTTGACTTACTTGGGCCATATATACATACCTACATAAGTAAATACCTCCCATATTAAAACCATACTTCATACATCGTAGTATAAAACTATATTTACAATATAAAAATTTACGAAGCGAATACCGTACGAAGTTCGACCGGCCATAATATAAACAGAAGGGAAACGTTAAACAAAAAATGTTCATCCTGAAATTTTCTCCATAAATCATTGGTTGCGGTAAAATTTTTATCTCAACGATTTATACTACCTACTTTTGGGTATAGGGAATATATTACACGACAAAAGATGTATAATAATATGAGATTTATGTCTGTCTATCCTTTCGACGATACGAGTACTTGTCACTGTATATGTGTTTGTTGATAAAAATACAAGTACCTATATACCAAACTATAATTTGTATTTTAAACTGTCAAACACCAAGCGGTCACCGGTGACCGCAACCTATTGTTCTATAATTGTGTCTACAAAACTCGTCGAGTACCGACTCGACGAGTTAAAACCGTTTCGAAATCTTGTAGTTGCGTAGTAATAATATCACACATACCAACAAGAAAATCAGTAATTATATTTCTACTAATGAAATTCTGTCCTTGAAAAATTATACGGCATCAAAAATAGCTCCGAATTTTCTAGAAGCTTGTAAAGAAAATGTAATGTAGATGCAATTGTGTGAAACCGCGTAATTACACCACATGTAAAACGAGTGCCAAAATTGTACCGCGCAATAAGCACGCTTTGCATGTACGAATTCGCATTTAGTATGCACTGCTCTTAATATTGTGCTGAGTGAATTCCGTCGAGCTCCTAATTTTTGTTATGATTTTTATAAACATTTTTTCCTTGTAGAGCTAGCTTGTTAGAAATTCATGCTTGCCTTTAAAATTACCAATAGCAATCACCATTATACTGCCTTTATTGCCGTATGGAATATTTTTTCTTTAGAGAAATTCGCGAGCGTCGCCTGGCGTCTGAATACGGTTACACTACGCGGCATAATGCGAAAACGGCCGCACGCGCCCGATGTGTTAACCTCATTATTTATGAATGCTGTTATGGGCTCAAAATTTCTTACGCCTGAATTATTTAATCTGCTTTTCCATTACGGCTTCGCTAAAATGACACAATTTATATTCAGAGCGGACGCTCAGAACTCAGGAGTATGACTTTATGGAAAGATTAGGGATGAGATCAAAAATTAAAATACGTTACGTTCCCGTTCCGTCGCGTGTGAGGATTGTTAGCGAGCGGGATGAATGGCGCGACGCGTGTGCTAATCGAGAAATTACGTTCTTAGACTATATATGAACAAGTAATTTTAGGTACTCTTTTAGAAATAGCTTTATTAAGAAGGGGAAATATTTTAAAATAAAAGCATTAGAACAGAGTTGAATACAGTACTAGGTATATGCACCAGTTAAAGTGTCCTATCAGCTAATGCACTAATATTCTGCTATAAACTGTACGACATTAACTTCAACTTTACAAAAACTATACTACAAAAAGCACTTCTATTGTAAACAGCTCTGTAAAATCTGTAAACGGGCCACTTCACGCGTTCCCAGTTCGTATCAAAACAGCTGTGATATGACGTCACAACGTAGCAAGCGCCAGTACATTGTTGTTTAAGCACAAAAGGTAATGCACAATAGAATTCACTGTTAATTAGCATTTTCGACAAAAGATCCAAGATTCCTATAGTTGAAGGAACGTATTTTATATAATCTTGTTACTTGTCTCTCAATAATGAAACACCAACAGCCAACAAGTTGGTTCGTTATTGTAATTAAAAAATGTATTTAACCGTATATTTTTTCATTTAAAAAGTAAGTTAATATACAGAGTGTGCCAATTTCGTCTGGTATTTTTATCAAATAAATTTGTCTGTTAGTATACTATGTATTTTGCTTCTGTTTTTTTTAAATACAGTTTACATTATCCTAATGATTACCTACATTGAAAAATATATGATTTTTCATTTTTCAAACAGTGACACCAGCATCCATTTTTCATACATTTAATCCATTACCGTGATAACCTGTCAAAATTGTGCATGCATAATATCATAAAGGTTTCACTATGGTTAGAGTAGGTATGATATTAAACCGTTCGATGTGGTCGGGTTCGGGTAGGCCACATGTGCAACTTACCACGTTTTTATAAGCGCACATATTTTAGGGTTAAGGAAAATAGGCGATCTATCAGTTGTGTTGGGAATATTGGATGTATTAAATGGTAATTCGGAGAACGTGCGAAGTGTTGCATAATGTGTAAGGTGATAGAAAGGGTGGTTCTGTGTTAGGAAGGATTTTGAACAAATCACATAATGTTATAAGAATAGGGTAGACGACTAATTTTTATTTTAATGTCCGTCTGGTAGATTATTTTAAATCATTACACACGTATTTTTTATTTTCTTACAGAAACGAACACTTTCCACGATATATTGATTTGAAATGTCGTGTGACGTCACTTTTATGTACATTTTATACGTAGAAATGACGTTTTAGCCTCCACTCCTAAACTTTGATTCGTTTTATCTAAGTAATGTTTTATTGTACGACAAAATAAAAAAAAAATGTGTCTAATATTTTTAAAATACCTAACTTACGGACTAATTAGATTTTTAATTTTAATACCCTATCGTCATCCCAATTTAAAATGTATGGAAATAATTGTGCAAGCTTGGGACATAGTTCCCACGTCAGTTTGTTCATCTAATGTTGACAAGACTAAATATATTCCGTTTTTCTTAAAACGACCTTCTGGCTCCCTGGGTGGTTACAAGATCGTTGCCCATTCCCCCAAATGCAGATCTACTGGGAACGGTTGTTGCTTGTGCCCCGAACTATCACGAACGGAATCCATTAAGTATCTGGGAGTTACACTAGACAGCACTCTAAACTTTCATTTACACATTGATGCTCTCTCCAGTAGAGTTCGTAAATTGATGTATGTATTCAAAAATCTTCGACATGTGGTTGACGCCAGTATAATGAAGACAATATATTTTGCTTTGTGCCAGTCTCTTCTCTCTTATTGCATAACCGTGTGGGGCGGAACAGCAAAAACGGCAATGCTACGGGTGGAACGCGCGCAAAGAGCGGTTCTCAAGGTCGGTAATTCCTTACCATTCTTATTTCCAACCAAGGAACTTTATGAGCGTGTTGGTGTACTAACCGTTCGCCAACTATACGTGCTGAATGTTATTCTTCGTAAACATTCCCAAACTACCTTTAATCCAAGCATGTTTGAAAATCGACGACGCAAGCACAACGTATGCCCGACTACTAAATTCCACACTGCCTTCTCACATCGTAATTATTGTTTTCTCGGGAACCATTTGTATAATAAGATAAATGAAATTCTATCGATCTATTCTTTACCTAAAACCCAATGTAAAATCAAAATTTCAAAGTGGTTACAGAAGCTAGACTACAACACGACGGAGCTGTTACTAAGTACACCGTCTTAATATAGAAAAGGGAAAAATATACATATATTACATACTCAATATAAAAATGTATTTCCAGACTCAGACCGTAATAACCTCTATTTGTATACGATTTCTCCCTTATCTCACTTACCTCACCTACACACTTCATGCACGCATCACACACACACTTCACACGCATCACACTACACACACTACTCCACACGCAACATGCAATTTTGAAAATGTTAAATTTTGTTTACTTAATCTCCTTCTCTTTGTTTTGTAACAAGTATGCAGTATGTCTCTGAGTTTGTTTATTTTTCTTTTATTTCTCATATCTGCTACATCGAGGGGTTTGTCCTTCTGCGAATTTATGATGGATATCTGTAATCTGTAACTGGTCCGAGGTGGGAGCCTGGAGATCCGTCACACAGGGAATCCTAGTATGGACTCCAGTCTCTCACAAAGGAGTACATTGTTTGCATTTGATTATTGTATCTTATTTCTGTAAATTATCCTTTGTGTAGAGAGATAATAAATAAATTTATTATTATTATTATTATTATTATTATCTACCCAAAATGCATAATCAAACATTACGCCAGAACCGATTACCATAGATGCAAGAGTTAATATATATTACTATATCGATGGTGTTAATGTGACTTATCAACACCTTCGTAGGACCTTCAACACCTTAAAAGACCTTCAACCAAGTTCCGTCCAGAATGAGATGAAATTTTCAAACAAACAAAACATGTAGGTACCTTGTTGTATCTAAAATTCTTTATTCACACGTATGTATAAACAGTGTATAGGCCCCTAGGACTGTGACTCAGAACAGCAAATCATGTTTGATATCAGATTCTTTATAATTAAAGATCTTGCAAAATAAGACTTAATTATGTAATCATAAGGTATTTAATTGCTAGTGAAGAAAATAAAAGTAATATTTAAATAGAAGATTGTAATAGTAACATTTGTTTCGCGTTATATTTATTTAAAGCTGAGATGTAAAATAAACCACTAATTAATATTCAACCTTCGTTTGTATAAATTAATTTTGTTTTATGGTAATAAATTATATTGTGTTCTAGGACTTTAGTTCAAACGTGACTTAGATTAAACTGCTTACGTAAATAATACTAAAAAATATTTAATACGAAAAATGATTAGGCTAATTTTTAGGTTTTTATATTGCCTAGTGGTTTTAAAGTAACAATAAGTTATAAGGAGATGCTTAAAATTTAAAATAACAACAGATTTTAACAATATTTCACAATATAATTTTATTTCTTCCACATTATGCCTACCCATCAAAAATACGAATTAACTGAAAATTATTTTTAAACGCAAACAACACCGGGAATTTCAAATTAAAATATTAAACGGGGCATTTAAAATAATTACACTAGCACTTACCCCTGGTAGTGTCCGTTTCTCATGGAGAGCCGTTTGAGCGCTGGATGCGCTCTCAGGATTGAAGTATGTTAAAAATGCACACCCTGTAACAAAGAGAATGAAACTTAATTTTTATGCAAAATATTTTTATTTTTTGTTGTAAATATTACTTTATTATGTATGCCATAAGAGTGTAAATAAATAAACTGGAATTATTTTTACAATTAAAAATGGTGGAAGGTGGATGCTTCATTGTGAATGAGTAGCTTTTCCTACTAGAATAGGATTTAAAATAGCGTAGCATTATGTGCGAATAAAATATTTTAACATTTAACTTTAATTATTTTTCTTGCAGCTTTTTTACATCGCGCACTTTATACAAACGACCTTAAGTCGTAGCAAAAAGAGCCATTATCGAAACTAATAGAACAATTACTGCTGAGGTGCAATACATACATAATAATGAAGCCTTATATCATCATTGAATTAGCAATAATTTAGTTTGCTGACAGTTAATTATAAATTGCTCCTGGATATCACTGTTGTTGACATGTGACGTGCTTGACGATTCGAATTAAGGGTACTATAGATGAAGATAATAATATCACTGTATTAAGTATTTAGAGAAGTAAATATGTTCATCACTTTTAGTCTCTCTGAAAGATTTTTATTCTAGCATAACCTAAAGGTTCTCTAGTAAGACTGACAGAGTTATTAGGTCCAACTATCAACAATAATAATTTGAAGAGCATAAGATTAAAATATAAAAACACATTGCTAGATTTATTATTAGTTTATCACAGATCTATGAACGCAGAACTATACCAAAATAATTTGAAAATGATTATAGCAATAAAACAGATAAGAAATATGTTAGCGAGGTGCAGCTAGCGATCACTAAACTGTTTACAACACATATATAAAACAAATAAGAAAAATAAGCATGAATATACCTAAAAATATAACACCATGAGTTATCTCATGATGATGAGACTACCTCATTAGCCGAGTGGTCGCAAGTGCGACAACTGGGCAAGAGGTCTCGGGTTCGATTCTCGGGTCGGGCAAAATATTACTTGGTTTGTTAAAAAAATCTCAGTAGTAGCACTGAGTCTGGAATTGTGGCCGTTATAGGGAAATAGCTCACTCTCTATTACAAGGGACTCATAAGATAAATAGTGAAAAGTGAGTGTTAAATTGTACAGTGGCATTAAGTGTCGTAATGTGCACCTTTGTCTACCCCTTCGGGGATAAGAGGCGTGATGTTATAATATTATAAGTTATCAAACAGAACATAACGAAATAAAAACTGAAACAAATACAATAAAAAAATTAAAATTCCACTGCAGTTTGTCGTTTCGAAAATGGCAGCTGATATGTGTTCGGATTATACTCAGCGTAGCTTTATTTGTAGGCGGCGATGTCTATCGAATAGGAATGAAGTTGTGTTATCGACGGCCCGTTGGACGTAAGTGCAACGTGATGAACAATTCTAGGCGGTGGTAGCTGATGGCATTATGTTGGGATGTGAGTTAAAGAGTCAAGTCAGATTTTATCTGAAAATATACACTTGGTAACAAGAAAAAACGAAGATACTATTTTTTTTCATTTCTTGGTAAATATTTAAACGATCTGGGAATCGAATCCAAGACCTCTTGCCCGGAGTCGCACTTACGACTGAGTAGTCGACCAACGAGGCAGTCGTAAAAAATCATAATGGCGACAATTACTGACTCCGTGCTACTATTGCCATTTTTTTTAAACGATCTGGGAATCGAATCCGAGACTCCTTGCCCGGCAGTCGCACTTACGACAACTCGGCCAACGAGACAGTCGTAAAAGAAATCATAATAAATTATCATTAAAATCATACTCACAAGCATAACATCTTAAATTAAAAGCCAGTAGACAATCTAAGTGGCTAACAAAAGAATACTGTGATATTGTAAGCGTCACTTAATAACTTTGCCGCGCTCTAGGACGGTGAAGATCGCAGTGTCATGTAATGTGTCCCGACTCCCGACCATTTGTCTACGTCACGTCTTAAAAGGGCAGACTGCAAGTTCTATGCGCAGTTAGTTCATAGGAATAGAGTTTTAAGACTGGTATACGAATTATCATTGGGTAGATTTTGTAGATAATTTTCGCTATAAGAATTTAAAATAACCTGGTTGAGTTAACTATGTTATTTTCACTGAGGGATGAGCTGATAGTCAGATATTTTGATTGTTTAACTTCCAATAGAACATGCTTGGTCAGATGAGAAGAAAATTATTTGATTTTAATTTTAGTTTTGTTATTATTTTGAAACTTTTGGTGTAGAATTATCAAATCACTCACGAGACTCATGAGTGACAATTGCAATATACCACAAAATTACAAGCTCTCTAGGTTAAAAACAAATCATGACAAGAACACAAGCAAGCATTATTAAACTCGAACATTTTAATCCTATAAGTATTCGTTTAATTGAACGGGTCGTTGCCCCAAAATTAACACCTAATAAGGAACCCCGAATGGCTCCATTACACAAATAATCTCAACTTCACGCTTTCTTTACTCAAATAACCCCCAACTCGCGAAATAAACAAATAAACACAATTCAACCCTACAATTAATACCCCAATAATTAAAGTGGCGTCCCTAACCCGGGACATTTCTTTACGAAAATAAACGAAAGCCTAAGTTGGAGCTTTAAAAATTATGACTTGGCAACATCGAATGGACCGGAAATGTATAGGCGCAGGAAATGAACCCGTTAGCGCAATCCAAGATGGCTGCCAGGAAGCTGGGCAGCCGATTTATTCGTGTTGCTGGACCATAGCAGATGAAATACTCTATTATGACGTATGGTAATGTTGCGACGCTTTTAAAGGGTTAACAGAGATTTACAGTATCTGCCGATACTGATTTACGATGTATTTGGGATTATAGCGCGCTAAGCTCTGCTGCCATTGTTCTTCGTTTAGCGCGAGTGTTTTGTTTGCGCTTGTTATTATATTCTGTGAATTTTCCATAATGTACTATGTTCTGGGTTGTTGGTACAGTGATTGATTAAAATGCAATGTGATTGTTGTTGATTGTTGAGTGTCCCTTTAGCGCGTTTCAACAATTTGCTGCAGATATAAAACACTTTTCAAACATTTTGATGTCAAATGTTTTTTTGGTACATGATGTTTTTTTCTTTAGTTCTTATGATTTTCAACATAAAAAAATAATAACAAAATAATACTTTGAGCTCCAAGCAGCAGCGTTAAAAAAAATATTTAGTCTAACAATCATGCCAATATTCTGGAACATCTTTGTAATTTACACTTAAAAAAATAATTCTTTACAATTTGCACAGTAAAATTATAACCATATAGTTCCACGACTCTAAACTTGTTCTAACAACACAATCCGTCCATTTAGTCGGTGTAATATGAGTCCCATTACACGCAGTGCAATGCGAGATGCATTTGCAGGTTGTTAGCGATGACATGCTATTGACAGCTGCCGTGTGACACATGTCATGGAGGCAGCCAATCAGCTAGATTTGGTTAGGATATCAGGTTTCTAAAACGGAAAATGTTTTGCTGTTGTAGTGTTTGTATTTCGTAGCAGTGTTTGTAGTAGTGTTTGACAGTTTTGTGGTAATATGGTACTAAGTGCACGGTTAGTGCCGTTGCTGGCCAGCTGGCTGCCGTGTCACGAGTAACGGGTTCCGTTCCCGCACTGAGCAATTCTGTGTGTGATCCACAAAGAATTGTTTCGGGTCTGGGTGAAATTGTATGTTTGTAAATGCACCCTCGACACAGGAGTAGATACTAGTGTGGAGCAAAGTTTTCTTAAAAAAAAGAAATAATAATCAATACATAGTATAAAACAAAGTCGCTTTCGCTGTATGTCCGTATGTATGCTTAGATCTTTAAAACTACGCAACGGATTTTGATGCGGTTTTTTTTAATAGATAGAGTGATTCTTAAGGAAGGTTTGTATGTATAATACATGCATATTGCACCCGTGCGAAGCCGGGGCGGGTCACTAGTAATAAATATGAGGTATTTTCAGAGCACAGTAAACTTAACAATAATGTTTATACCCAGGTTGCTTTGTTAGTAGAGTTACAATGATATATTAAAACGTGTTCACTTCATAATCTTATATCTTTGTTTCGCAAGCATAGTTGCTGACCAAAAAAATTAAATTTATGTAATTGAACAGTCGCAATGCTCCTTTTAGTAAATTAAAAACACTGGTTCAAGACCTTTTACTGTCAGTAGTCAAAGTGAATACATATTTTTCACGTTTGTATATAAAATTCGTTTCGATATTTTCATCAATCATCGAATGACTGCCTTGGTGAGGCGGGAGGGAGAATCAGACTCTTACTGACTAAAAACCACCCCGTTCCTTCTCCTGCGCTTCGAGCCGGAGCCCCGGTAACCCGTTAGGTTCTCCGCAACATTTGTTTCTTTATAAGAGCAAATGTTTAACAAAGATAATATATTTTGGAATTGTTTAAGTAATTAGATACGTTTTCGGCGTAGCTTGGGCAAACTTATACACAAAACCCAAGCTCGTTCACGAGCAACCTGCACATCTATGATAACACGATTTTGTATAAACCGATCGTAGCGTATCAAATAAGCACAAAAGCACGCGATTAGTGCACCGCGCTAATTTACGCTGGCCGGTCAAATTTGCATCGACGCCGGCCGCAACCTACCACAACCCGCTAATTAGTAGTTAGCCGCTTTTATTTCCGACCCAACGTTATCTAAGCCGCGGTAATCTGCTACTGTAACGCCCAGCCCTGCCTATGCGGTTGAATGTACGGTTTTCGGTGTTTAAAAAATGTTGCGGCCATTTTTAGAGGCGTTGAAGGAAGGCCGTGGTAAGTTCAGTGGTTTTGTTTTAAAGTAATACTGATAAAGTTTTGTGGGGTTTCGAAGAATGGTGGGCGTGGGTTAATGTTTTGTAGAATATAATGTAGGCGGATATGTTTAGGGTGGTTACTGTTACATAGTTCCTATTGAGATTAATAGATATTATTTTGTAACCAAGTGTTAAATATACCTACTCATAGCTTAGTTAAGTTATATTATATGATTCAAAAATACAT